CTTTGGCTTGATGCACAGTCTGTTCATCTCTCTAGACTCATCTCCTACTCAGTATTCTGAACATGCCCTGTGCTCTAGCTGAACACAACTACTTGTATTTCCCAAGCACGTCACCCTCTTCCACTATTCCATGCCTCTTTCCCTGTCTTCTTCAACTTACTGCCTTCTTCTTGCTCTTTAAGATAAAACTTAAAAATTGCCTCCTCCTGGAAGCTTCTCTGGCCCCTTGAGCTGAGTTTATGCTTTTCTATACTTGCTCTGTACTTCCAAAACAACTTTGGGAAACTTACCTGTATTGCAATTGGACATTTACTTGCTCATTGGACAGTCTGCTGTTCTAGACAGTTTCCTTGAGAGAACTGAGAGAATCCTTTCTTTTTTCACTGCCGCTTGAGCTGCTCTACCTGTTGTTCCCAGATTTAGGGAGTGATGGAGAGAACAGAAGAAAATAGAGAGTATTAATTCCATATTGACTTCCCATTTACCCAAAGAAACTGAGAAAGAAATCCCAGAAACATCTGAGTTTCCCTTGAATTGGCAGTAAGGTATTTTTCCATTTATGGAAGTGGGTCTTGTGATCTAAGTCAGTTTAAAAAAAATAAAGGGGGTTTTATGATGGCACATCTGGGTTTTGGGACTGTAAACTTCATGCTGATTATAGAAGTTATTTGACATTGATAAATGGTGGGACTTTATTGAAAAATAAGAGACAAAGAAGAAGAAAAAGAAAACATGCTATGTGTGTTTGGGGTATGGGTAGGTAGTCTGAGTTGGGGGAGACAATAATGAAACCTGGATTTTTAAATCCTAAAGCAGGAAGAAGCCCAGAGGGGACTGTTCAGGGAGCAAGCCTGTGAGCGGTGGAAAAAGCAGTAACTAAGTCCTGGGCAGGGTGAGATTTGAGGACTCAGGGCCAGGGATGCTGAACTTTCCCTTTCCCTCCACCTCTTTGCCCTTCCCTTGCTTCTCCCTGGCCCCTTCCTCTATTTCTGTTGTCTAGGTGTTTCTACCCTATGATGTCTTTCATGGAATATTTGGGAAATGTTAATGTTAGGCATCTAATTGTTAAAATCAAACTCTTTGGCCCTATGTAGTTCTCATTAAATGATGTTGATGATTTTATACAAATGTGTTGACATTTTACCACATTATGTTTTTAACAGGGTATAAACTTCAGACTGTATATATTGAGATGGAGTTTTGCTCTGTCACCCAGGCTGGAGTGCAGGGGCATGATCTTGGCTTACTGAAACCTCCACCTCCTGGGTTCAAACAATTCTCCTGCCTCAGCCTCCTGAGTAGCTGGGACTACAGATGTGCACAACCATGCCCAGCTAATTTCTGTATTTTTAGTAGAGACGGAGTTTCACCATGTTGTCCAGGCTGGTCTTGAGCTCCTGACCTCAGTGATCCGCCTGCCTCGGCCTCCCAAATTTCTGGGATTATAAGTGTGAACCACCATGCCTGGGCTCAGACAATATTTTTTATTAAAAATAACTTAGAGTCTTCCTTTCGTCAACACGTGGAGGTTACTGGTCCTTCTCTAGAAACATTACCATCATCTTCATCATCATCATACCATTGATATGGTTATGACATGCCAGGTACTGCACATGTAGCAACTCAGTGATCACCCCAACCATATAGGAAAAGTTTTATGATGACCCATGTTACAGATGTGGACAAAGAAAGGTTATATAACTTGCCCAAAGTCACACAGGTGGGAAGTAGCAGGGCAGTCTGGCTCCTGAGGTGATGTGCTTCACCTCCACACTTCACTTCCTCTCCAGATTCGAATTCCCAGGCTTGCGGATTTCTTCTAATCATGGTAGGATATTCATCCCCCATCCATGCTTATTTATGATCTATATCCACCTTTTGCGAATAAAGCCAATAAAGCTTTGTCTGTATAAATGATCTGTGTAAATGTCTCTTGGTGTTAATATGGCTTATGAGGAAATAGAAATTGTATTTTGCAGTCCTCGTCTGGTTTCCTCAGTAATGGATTATGTCCACAGGATATGAACTCAATAGGTTAAAAAAGTGAAAGAATCATCATCAGTTATGGTACAACTGACATCATGTGGCTCCTGAGGTGATATATTGAGAAGGACAAACATCACCTATGTGATAGTACTGCCAAAATGTTTCACCTCAATCTAATCATGAGTAAACAATCAAACAAACACACATTAAAGGACATCCTGCAAAGCTGCTGGCCAAGACCCTTCACAGGCATCAATGTCACAAAAGATGCAAACGCTGAGGAACGCTTGAGATTGATGGGGACTAAAGAGACAAGATAACAAAAGGAATGCATGAGATTTGTTTGGACCCTGGATCGGGGAAAAAAACCAGCTGTACAGGATGTTATTGCAACACATGGGAAATTTTGAATATAGACTGTATATTAGATAATGCTGAAGTTCCTGAGCAATAACTATATGCTGGTTGTATAGGAGAATGCCTTTGCGCTTAGGGGATAGATGATGGAACACACACACGCACACACACACACACACACACACACACACACACACACACACGAGAGAGAGAGAGAGAGAATATACACAGTGTATATGTATGTATATGTATATATATACACACATACACATGGTTTTATATATATATACTTTCTATATACATATATATATATATATAAGTTAACAAAATGTTAACACTTAACGGATCTAGATGAATGTTAAATGGATGATTATTGTAGTACTCTTGCAACTTTTCTGAAGGTTTGAAATGTTCATAATTTAAAAATATATCTGGGAGTACAGAAAGAGTGGGAATATAGATCAGGCAAGATCAGTCCAGCATTGATTGTTGTTGAAGCTTAGGGTTGAGCATATAGGGGTTCATTAAATTATTCTCTCCACTCTTTTAGATGTTTGAGATTTTTGCCCAATAAAGAGTGTTTTAAAAGAGAATGATTCAGTCAGATTTCCTGCTGCTGACTCTCAATAAATGTTTGACGAGAATAAACTGCCGTGACAGATGGTTTCTCTACCTATGTCTTACCCTCACCCCTACTTCTACGCAACCCCAGGTACTATTTTCCCTTGCCTGGACCCTGACCCCATCCCCTATTTATTATCCAGTCTGAAGCCAAGGTGATGTTTTGTTAAAAGCAAAATTGATCACACAGGCCCTGCCTGAAATTATTCAAAGTCCACCCAGTGTTTTAGGAGGAAGTTTTCTAGCTTTGCTTACCTCGGGCTCTCCTCACTCACTGGCCCCTTTCTCTGGGTTGTGGCCTCAGGGCAGTTTTAGAGCTCTTATTCTTGCCCCAGTCTTCCCTACACCTATGTAGAGGCTTGTCCCTCAGACCAGAATGCTCTTTCCCTCTTTATTAAGGGCTTATTCATTCTTTAAATATCAGTTCCTGAAATCCTTCCCTAGTCTGTCTGCTTAGCATGAAGCCCCAGCATGGGCCTGGTAACAGGTCCCTTTCTCTGCTAACATCCCAGTTGGAATTATAACTCTTTGTGATTGGCTAATGCCTTCCTTGAGGTTGAAAGCTCTCTGATGTCTCTGTTGTGCTCCTCATTGTATCCACAGAAGGTGCTTGATATTAATACATAATTTCATATATTTTTAACCAATTTTTTCACTAACATTATTTAGAATTTTTATCTTTATAGAGCTCCTTTGTACTTATCTTTAAAAGGATAGGTGATTGTCTCCTGAAGCTTAATTTCAGTTCTTAAATTGATGTGATCCCCTCTGACAATATGGAAACATTATTGTCATAATACTCTTTGAAAAATTGGCTAAGTCACTTGGCTTCTGTTTCCTTTCACAATCAATATGACTTCATGCAAAATGATGCAGCAGTTCACATCATTCTGTCAGCCCCCATCAAGGAAATATTGTTTTCTAAAATTAAAATTGTGAATCAACTCACAGGAGGATGTTGTCAAATAAACAAAGAATCATCGCTTACATTACACTGCCAAATTTTTGATAAGCTTAATTCCTCTAAATGCATTTAACTTTAATGAAGAGTAATACAATTTAATAACAACATAAAATGGAATAATTTATCTTACCAGACTTAGACATTGGGCAGATGTCTTCTGCTTAATAAATTGTGTCAAAATGCAAAAGATTTTTCCTTCTCCTTCAGATTTATTTCTCCTTATTTGTATATATGTGGCTTGGGGAATGATCTATATGTACGTATTTAATTAAATCACTCATCAGGCTATAGTGTTTATGGTTGCACATCTCTGGGATTTGTTGTTTCAAGCTCCCGAGGCACTGATATTTATATAACCCAATAAAATTTGATAATTATTAGTGTATTAGTCAAGATTATTATCGGTTGCAAGTGACATATAACCAAACTCAAATTAACTTAAGCAACAAAGGGAACTTATTGCCACATATAACTGTGGAAAACATAGGTGGAGGCTGGTTTCAGGGGCTCAGATGAGGTTGATAGGGGCGTCTCTTCATCTTCTGGCTTACTTTGCCCTGTGTTACTGTCATTTTCAGGTAAGCTCTCTTCTTACAGGTGACAAAGAATGTTCATGAAGCAACACATAAGTCATTCATCATATATAATGAATTTTGGATATTACAGATGGGCAAAAGGCTCCAGCTGAGCCTAAACTGGGGTTTTGATTGTGCCTGGGTGTCTATTTGTGTGATGTGATTTGGGGGGGGGCACTTAAGGAGAGGATTCGTTACAAGGCTGCTGGGAGAGGGGCAAAATGGGGACGCATTACTTGGTGCTGTGTGTTCCAACATGGTCCAAGGACTATTTGCTTGGTGTGAAACTAATTGTGGTTTTTGCCATTAAAAGTAATGGCAAATTACTTTTGTGAGCCTCTGTGGAAAGTAGAGCTGTAACAGAGGGTGAAATAATCACTTTTTATGAATAATTTCATAAATGATGAGGGTAATGTACAGGCTTGGTACATTAGGGTGTGATAGCTATAAAATGCTTCCAGGAAGCAACATCAGTGCAAGACAGCACAGCATCTCACAGAGAGGCACTGAGGAGCCCAAAGGCTATAGTTTCCTTCTTGAGCACCCTCTGGAGACTCCAGAGCTGCTTGAGTCCCTATGGTATGGAGCCAGAGAGTGGATTTTAGAAACAGTAGATACAGCTCCTTGTTTATGGAGGATGCTTCCACTTAGTTTTATAGGGATAGATTACATGACCCCAAAAGGTTACTTATAGGGAGACGATCAATGCTGAAAACATTGTCAGCATTAAATCAGTGAGGGAATGTGAAGATACAAAGAAGCAAAGTTTGCGTGTTGACAAATGCTTCCATTTGATAAGACATAAAATAGACAGCTTATGTGAAAGCCAGTGGCATTATCACAAGATGTTTCTCGTTTACTGCTTATAAGGCAGCTATGTCATTGCTCTGTAAAAGCTTCCAAAGATAGCACCAGTACTAGAAGAAGCATTTCGGTCATGTTGCAAGTATCTGAGCTACATAAAGACTTTTTACATTGGGAATACTCTTCCTATATAACCCCTTCTCTGGTTAAAAACATTAAAAAATTTTTAAGAGTCATAAATAATGAGATTTCAGGGATCTGTACCTTCAAATCAGTGATGCAGTCTGCAAAAGGTAAGTATAAATTGTTACCAGGGTAAAATCCTCTATCACTTTTGTTTGTATAAGTTCGGATCTTAAATTAAACTGCTGCTAGCAGAATGCTCATTAAAGTGGATGTAAAATTCCAAATGAAAAGTTATTGATTTCGAAAAGGGTAAACACAACTAAGCCTTTAGAATAATCTGAAGTTATTAAATTACCAATTTAGTTACTGTTTTTTATTTTTTTTTAGTATCTTGATTATTAGGTAAACTGCATAAGGCATAGCGTTGGAAATAGAACTGAAAGATATCAGCCAATAGTCATTTTCCACATACATTAAAAAATGAATGGCTTGCTGAAAAACGGTGATGGGTTTTGATCTCCATTGCCCCCAGATTTCTGGACCTCATAAAAAATATAGCCTACTTCATATCTATTTGCAGGAAAGATTAGGATGAGGGTCAGATGATACATTTTTAGCCACAAGTATCTAGCCAAAAGAACCTGACTTTGCCCTATCACATTTCCCATGTATATTTATGGACTGTACCATTTGGGTATTATAATAAAAATTTTTATCTGTCCCTGGAGGCAAAACTGAGTTATATATTAAATGGCTATTTTCTTTGTTTTCTGCTTAGGTATGCATGTAATGTGGTAACATAATATATATTCCACACTTGTTTCATTCCTGCAGAGAGATAATATTTTTGCAGCTGACAGAGTAAAGACATCCTGTGCTTCCAGAATAAGAGAGAACATATTGTCCGTATAAAATACAGATGTTCCCGTTGTTTTTTTCTACCTCATGGTTGTTTTCAGCAGAGGTTAACTTTCATGGGCATATTTTCCTGTCCTTATTTGGGCAGTTGGACACAGAAGTCTGCAGTAAATTCAGGACTATAAAAGATGGTTTCAAGGAATGTATTTAAAATGTTTTTAGTGGAGGAAAGTAATGCAAAAATTTATCCCTCCCAAAAAGGCTCTTTTCATAAGAATGTTGAAATTAAAATAACTTTCCTATTTCTCTGTGAGGAAGGAAGTTGAGTATGTCCAATTTTTCTTTCTTTAAAAATTTATTTTTCTTAAGTGAGAAATACAAAGTTTCTTTCATTAAAGTCTAGAAAAAATAAACGGAATCTTTTGTGACAAAGATGGTATCCTGATTGCATCTGATGATTTCCTCTTTCCTATTCTAGAAAGAAATAATCCAAGAAATGTAAAGGGGTTATAACAAAGTCATTTGTGTACCATCATCAGAAACTTTTTACTTATGTCAATGAAGCTCAGGAGTTTTAGTTGGAAATGCTAGACGTGGTAGTAAATGAGGGAGTCACTAATAAGCCACTATTCACATTTTGGCTGTTCATGCTGGCAAAACGAATTCTTCCACTGTAAAAATAAGAGAAATATCACCAGATAAATGAAGACATTTAATGGTTCAAAGGAGGTGGATCAAATATGGGCATTCAGATTAAATAACCTCTAGTGAAACAGAGCTGCTAAGTTTTTTAAAATGAAGATTTTCACCAAAAAGTCAAAATCTAGAAACTAAAAATATGTCTTGAAAATAAAGAGAAGCGTAGCTATAAAACATTCTTTCAGAATGTGAAGCATAAATTTCAAGAACTGGAAATTTAGAAGACAGTCAAGAGGCAGGAAAGATGAAAGCAAAAAGAAATAGTATTATCACAGGAGTTCCAGAAGGAGAAAACAGTATAGATGAATGAAAGCAAGAGCCAAAGAAATAAAAGAAGGCATTTTTTTTTTCTGAGTTGAAGAATTCAGTCTTCACATGGAGAAAGCTTACCGAAGACTGGACAGACATAATGAAAAAAGCCTTATTCACCATATTCTGGATAAAGAACAAATGCTAGAAGCAGTCAACTAGGAAAAAATATCATCCCCCCACCCCGCAAGTTTAAATGACATTGGATTTTTTATTTGCAATACTAATACTAGAAAACCTTAGAGGAAACGTGTGATTTCTGAAGAAAAGAAATTATGTTACAATAATTATATACTAAACCTAGCTATTATCAAATGCAAGGCAGGCAAATCAAAGCCTGGTTCAGATTTGCAAGAATTCAGAAATTATATGACTCATATATTCTTTTTTTTAAAAAAATAAAACTTTAAGTAGACCGTTAAGCAAAAGCTAATCAAAATAAAAAATTTTAGAAATGTAAAGACACGTTTAAAAAATAGCAGTGAGCTGCTCAAAGAAATAAGAGAGGACACAAACAAATGGAAAAACATTTCATGCTCATAGTTAGGAAGAATCAATATCATAAAAATGGCCATACTGCCCAAAGTAATTTATAGATTCAATACTATCCTCATCAAGCTACCATTGACTTTCTTCATAGAATTAGAAAAAACTACTTTAAATTTCATATAAAACCAAAAAAGAGCCCATAAAGCCAAGACAATCCTAAGCAAAAAGAACATAGCTGGAGACATCACACGACCTGACTTCAAACTATACTACAAGGCTACAGTAACCAAAACAATATGGTACTAGTACCAAAACAATATGGTACTAGTACCAAAACAGAGATATAGACAAGTGGAACAGAACAGAGGCCTCAGAAATAACACCGCTCATCTACAACCATCTGATCTTTGACAGACCTGACAAAAACAAGCAATGGGGAAAGGATTCCCTAATTAATAAATGGTGTTGGAAAACCTGGCTAGCCATATGCAGAAAACTAAAACTGGACCCCTTCCTTACATTTTATACAAAATTAACTCGAGATGGATTAAGGTAAGACCCAAAACCACAAAATCCCTAGAAGAAAACCTGAGCAATACCATTCAGGACGTAGGCATGTGCAAAGACTTAATAACTGAAATACCAAAAGCAATGGCAACAAAAGCCATAATTGACAAATGGGATCTAATTAAACTAAAGAGCTTCTGCACAGCAAAAGAAACTATCATCAGAGTGAACAGGAAACCTACAAAATGGGAGAAAATTTTTGTAACCTACCCATCTGACAAAGGGCTAATATCCAGAATCTACAAAGAAACAAATTTACAAGAAAAAAATAAACAACCCCATCAAAAAGTGGGCAAAGTATATGAACAGACATTTCTCAAAAGTAGACATTTATGAGACCAAAAAATATATGAAAAAAAGCTCATCATCACTGGTCATTAGAGAAATACAAATCAAAACCACAATGAGATACCATCTCATGCCAATTAGAATGATGATCATTGAAGTGTCAGGAAGCAACAGATGCTGGAGAAGATGTGGAAAAGATGCTTTTACATTGTTGGTGGGAGTGTAAATTAATTCAACTATTGTGGAAGACAGTGTGGCAATTCCTCAAGGGTCTAGAACTAGAAATACCATTTGACCCAGCAATCCCATTACTGGGTATATACCAAAGGAGTATAAATTATTCTACTATAAGGACACATGCACACGAATGTTCATTGCAGCACTGTTTACAATAGCAAAGACTTGGAACCAACCCAAATGCCTATCAATAATATACTGGATAAAGAAAATGTGGCACATATATACCATGGAATACTATGCAGCCATAAAAAAGGATGAGCTAATGTCCTTTGCAGGGACATGGATGAAGCTGAAAACCATCATTTCAGCAAACTAACACAGGAACAGAAAACCAAACACTGCATGTTCAAGTGGGAGTTGGACCATGAGAACACATGAACACAGAGAAGGGAACATCACACTCTGGGGCCTATCAAGGGTGGGGGCTAGGGGAAAGGATAGCATTAGGAGAAATACCTAATATAGATGACAAGTTAATGGGTACAAAAAACCACTATGGCACATGTATGCCTATGTAACAAACCTGCATGTTCTACACATGTATCCCAGAACTTAAAGGATAATTTTTAAAAAAAAGAAAGAAAGAAAAAATGTGGATCATCCTGTTTTGTGCTGCAGAATACCTGAGGCTGGGTAATTTACAAAGAATGGAAATGTATTTCTTGCAGTTCTGGCTGCTGAGGTCCAAGATCAAGGCAGCAGCAGGTCTGGTGTCTGGGGAGGTCCTGGTCTCCACCTCCAAGATGGCATCTCGAATGCTGTATCCTACAGAGAGGGCAACACTGTTGTTCACATGGCAGAAGGGTGAAAGGAGGAATGCAAATTCACCCCTTTATAACAAACTCACTCCTGTGATTACAGCATTGATTCATTTATGAGGGAGGAAACTTCATGGCCTAATTCTCTCTTAATGATCTTACCTCTTAATACTATTAAAATGGTGATTAAGTTCCCAACACATGCTTTTTGGGGGCCCATTTAAATGACAACAAATATATACCATACAAATAGTAACCATGAATAAAGCTTATTTGGCTATATTAATATCAAGCAAAATAGACTTCAAGATGAAGATTATTACTAGAGATAAAAAAACTTTCATAAAAGAGAAAAGATCAGTTTGTCAAGAGGACACAGTAATCTTAAACGTGTATTTACCTAATAACCATGTTTAACATCACTTCCGGAACATAG